TCAAATGATTCTCACTCATCCTCAATTGATTGTCACTTATTCACAATTTATTCTTAAACAACCCTAATTAACTCCCAGTATTCTTCAATTGATTCTCACTAATTATAATTTGATTCTCAGTCATCCTCAATTTATTCTAACTCAATAAGAATATGAATATGAAAATGGATTGGAATAGGTGATAATTAAAATATATTGATATGAATTTGTGAGAGTGTCTTTAATAAAGAAAAATTTGTCAAAGAACAATAATGTCAAATTGGGTGGGAGCATATAGTAATGAAATATTTATTGATAAATATTAATGTCATAATAATTGAGAGCATGTAGTAATGAAAAATTAATTGATAAGATAATATTAAATAGGGTGATTGCATTGATCAATACATATATATGAATGAATTTCGATGTCAAACCGTCAGTCATATTGTTAGTCAAAACGTCAGTTATATTCTCATTCATACACTCACTCAAACCGTCAGTCATATTGTCAGTCAAACTCTCAGTCATATTGTCACTCAAACTGTCAGCCAATTGTCAGCTAAACTCTAAGTCATATTCTAACTAAAGCCGTCACTCATATTGTCAGTCAAAACGTCAGTCATGTTGTCACTCAAACTATCAGTCTTATTCTCACTAAAACCATCAGTCATACACTCTCTTAAACTATGAGTGAGTGTGGTAGAATTTACGAAAAAGTGACACTTAACCTTAAATTTCCAAACACTATTTTTTGATTGTATTTTGTTATTTATATATTTATATATATATGTATATTTATATATGTATATATTTATATATGTATATATTTATATATGTATATATTTATATATGTATATATTTATATATGTATATATTTATATATGTATATATATATATGTATATATTTATATATGTATATATTTATATATGTATATATTTATATATGTATATATTTATATATGTATATATTTATATATGTATATATTTATATATGTATATATTTATATATGTATATATTTATATATGTATATATTTATATATGTATATATTTATATATGTATATATTTATATATGTATATATTTATATATGTATATATTTATATATGTATATATTTATATATGTATATATTTATATATGTATATATTTATATATGTATATATTATATATGTATATATTTATATATGTATATATTATATATGTATATATTTATATATGTATATATTTATATATGTATATATTTATATATGTATATATTTATATATGTATATATTTATATATGTATATATTTATTAGAAACTGCTTCATGCTGTGTTGAGTATTGTTGAATAATTTGAAGTAGTGGTTTTTGAAATCAGCACCCCTATGAGAGCGCTGGCGACCGAAACACCACTAGTAAGATTGTGTATTAGAAACTGCTTCATGCTGTGTTGAGTAAGCTTCGATGTCTTTGTAGGATAGCTTTCTGAGAGCGAAACAAGATAGTGTTGAAAAAAAATTTTGAAAATCTGAGAGACTGTGCAAGAGCCAACGACCAAAACACTACCAGTAAGATACAGCAGTAGTAGCTGCTTCATGCTGCATTGAGTATTGTTGAATAATTTGAAGTAGTGGTTTTTGAAATCAGCACCCCTATGAGAGCGCTGGCGACCGAAACACCACTAGTAAGATTGTGTATTAGAAACTGCTTCATGCTGTGTTGAGTAAGCTTCGATATCTTTATCAGACCACCTTTAAATTAACCACTCACATTCTCACTGTGGTCCATCTAAAATTTGTAAGCTTTATGACATAAAATTATATTATATGCAGGATCCCACCTATTACTTAATCTTTTTGGAATAAATGTTTTATAATATTTATCGATTGATTGTAATTTTTTGTATAAAAAAAGTTTTTTATTTATATTAAAAATATATTCGGTTAATGATATTATCTTATAATTTGTAAATAAATCTAGTAATAAAATAACTTTAATAGTTGGTGTCACTTTTTCGAAAATTCTGGTTTTTTCTTGTCAGTCAAAACGTCAGTCATGTTGTCACTCAAACTATCAGTCTTATTCTCACTAAAACCATCAGTCATACACTCTCTTAAACTATGAGTCATATTGTCACCCAAACTCTCAGTCATATTCTAAATAAAACCGTAAGTCATAGAGGCTGTCAAACCGTTAGTCATATTGTCGGTCAAACCGTCAGTCATATTGTCAGTCAAACTGTCAGTAATATTCTAATTAAAGCCGTCAGTCATATTGTCAGTCAAACTGTAAGTCATATACTCACTCAAATCAACAATCATATTGTCACCCAAACTATCAGTCTTATTCTCACTAAAACCGTCAGTCATATTGTCAGTCAAATCGTCAGTCATATTGTCAGTCAAACCGTCAGTCATATTGTCACTCAAACCGTGAGTCATATTGTCAGTCAAACTGTCAGTCATTCACTCACTCAAATCAACAGTCATATTGTCACTCAAACTGTCAGTCTTATTCTCACCCAAACCGACAGTCATATATTCATTCAAATTAGCAGTCATATTGTCACCAAAACTGTCAGTCTTATTCTCACTAAAACCATCAGTCATACACTCTCTTAAACTATGAGTCATATTGTCACCCAAACTTTCAGTTATATTCTAAATAAAACCGTAAGTCATAGAGGCTGTCAAACTGTCAGTCATATTCTAACTAAAAGCTAATTCATAGTGTGTGTCAAACCGTCAGTCATATTGTCACTCAAATTGTCAGTCTTATTCTAACTAAAAAGCTAATTCATAGTGTCTGTCAAACCGAAGTCATATTGTCACCAAAACTGTCAGTCTTATTCTCACTAAAACCATCAGTCATACACTCTCTTAAACTATGAGTCATATTGTCACCCAAACTCTCAATCATACACTCACTCAAATCAACAGTCATATTGTCAGTCAAACCGTCAGTTATATTGTCACTCAAACTGTCAGTCTTATTCTAACTAAAACCGTAAGTCATCGTGTGTGTCAAACTGTCAGTCATATTGTCACTCAAACTGTCAGTCTTATTCTAACTAAAAAGCTAATTCATAGTGTGTGTCAAACCGAAGTCATATTGTCACTCAATTTGTCAGTCATACACTCACTCAAATCAACAGTCATATTGTCACCCAAACTGTCAGTCTTATTCTCACTAAAACCATCAGTCATACACTCTCTTAAACTATGAGTCATATTGTCACCCAAACTCTCAATCATACACTCACTCAAATCAACAGTCATATTGTCAGTCAAACCGTCAGTTATATTGTCACTCAAACTGTCAGTCTTATTCTAACTAAAACCGTAAGTCAAAGTGTCTGTCAAACCGTCAGTCATATTCTCAGTCATACTGTAGTTCATACTATCACCCAAACTGTTGTTCATACTGTCACTCAAACTCTAAGTCATATTGTCAGTCAAACTGTGAGTCATATTCTCTCTCGAACCTTGAGTTATACTGACAACCAAACCCTCATTCAAAATGTCACTCAAACTGTCAGTTATATTCCTAGACACATTCAAACTTTCAGGCATATTGTCAGCCAGATACTCAGTTATAGAGTCACTTTTTTGTCATTAATGAATTCAGTTATAGATTCAAACATACATTCGGTCCAATATTGGATCATGCAGTTAATTCTACATTTTTTTAACTTGTAAGTCATTATTTATGAAAATATTTAAAATAGTGTAATTGCACAATGATGTGCAGTATTATCTTTAATATTAATATTGTAATATGATATTAGATTTTTATCATATGAGATATTAATATTGATTTATGGATCACTGCACAATGATGTGCAGTATTATCTTTAATATTAATATTGTAATATGCAATGTTTATATTCTAATTTGAATGTTCCTTTTTAACCTCATGATTTCTTCTCACTGATCTGCCTTTTTATGCAGCATTTTTGTATTTAATCTCTCTTATCCTTTAGATTCTCTATGCTTTCATCTTTCTAAACCAGATTCCATTGTTAATTCTTAAATTAACACAAATCTTAAATTTCATATTAGTCATTGATCTGAAGTTATTGAAACATCTGACGTCTTTAGATTATCTTATCTAATATTAAAATGATTGATCTATTTACATTTTTAAAATAGTCCTAAAAAGTCTCAATATTAATAAAAGCATAATAAAATTAAATTTTTTAATATCATTTTGTAAATTATTCGTTTACTTTATGGCATAGCCTTTGAAAAAGTATCAAAAAACATTATCTTAATGTCTCTAAAGAGGTTAAGTAGCATACACACAGATATGCTAATGTGTAAAAAGAGATTTATTGCAAAAAGTCCAAAATAGTATATTTATTATCAAGATTCGCGTGGAAACGTACAAGTTTGGGACGAATAACTAACATTCTTAAACATTTAGTAATACTATGATAAGTACAAGTCCTTAGATGCGACATATGGCTTCTTTTGTTCTAACTTACCAAATTCAAGAACTCAAGTTGGCAGTAACTCTGTACTAAACATACTCTAAGAGCTTGTCATTATTCCGTGTATGACAAATCATACTTTAATGTTTTACTCGTTGAATAAAGAATGCTTGATTTTGAAATCGAATGTTTTTGCTTAAATAGTTCCAGATTCTTGAACTAGGGACGGAATTAGAGGACACGTCTTTGCTGGTTAGTCGCGTGCTTGATGACAATATGCTACAATTATAATAAACGTACAAAAGGGACGAAAATTGAGAGCTTGTAACTTTCAACCGAATTTCATGAGATCTTTTTTTTTTAAGAATAGCATAGTTAGTATTGGAAATATGCATCGCCATATTCAATGCTATTCGTAAACGAATGCGTTATGATTCGAAATTATGCAGGTTACATTTGAACTTCTCAACATAGGATACCTTATATTAGTCCGCTCTATCTTCCATCTTAACCGTATTCAATAATTATTAACAGATTTGAAGCATTACCTTTGTCTGAGGACGATAGTAAATGTATGACGAGAAAAAAAATTTCAAGGGTAGAGGAGAATGAGCGAAACCACAGATAAAGGAGGGGCTCCCCTCGACCCAAAAACGCAGCAAATGCTTATTAACTTGCTAACAGCATCTCTAAAAGAAAATAAAGGCATCAATTTCAAAGGTTTCGCTGATTTAGAATCTGCAGAGGCAACAATCAACCAGCTCATACAGGCCGAAACCGAAAAATTAAATGCGTTGATTCAAAAGAATTCAGAAATTCTTCAAGAAACAGAAAAAACAGAAAAATTCTACGAGGAAAAAATGGAATTATATAATGAAGGTTTCAAAAAGATGGTTCAAGAGAAAGAAATGCTCCGCGAAACTAAAGAACAGAAAATGGGAGAATATGAGACATCAATACGAGAATTAGAGAATAGAAATAAACAACTAGACACCGAAATAGAAAATTTGCGTACTGAAATTACAAAAATGCGTGAAGAAAACAAATCAGCACGATTACAAGGCGTTTGGTTACCTAAAGCGAATAATACAATAACAGACGTCTCTGATTTCTTACGCCGCGTTCCAGACAAAGCAGAAGCATTACAAGAAGCTGTTAGACTCAACGAAGACCTCGTCAGATTTGGATCTCAGCAAGTTAAATCTCAAATTTCATATCCATTGATTTCCAAACACGTTGATTATAGAAATCTTGTTAAGATACAACCTAAACAGCAATCCCAATACCAGCAGCCAATCCAGTCCACTCAAACTATTCCTCAACAACAATATTCTTATTCTCAAACTCGAGCATATACAGAACAGGTACAGCAACAGCAAGCAATCATGTCGATGATGTCACAGCAACCCATGCAATCCATTCAACAGTTACAACAAATTCAAATTCCACAACAATTCATGCCAAGACAGAAATCTCAGCCAATTGTGCCTCAACAGCCTCCAATGCCACGACAGTCTTCACAGCCATCAGCTACGATCATGCCTTCTCAAGTACAAGCTCAAATTCAAAAAAGAAAGGATATTCAAATACCACAAAAGCCGAAAACGATACCAAAGCACAACCAGATTAACTTTAACATACCAAGCCAGTCAATTCAAGCTCAATATCATGATCAAAATCCACAAAACATTTATTTGCAGCAACAGAACTACCAGGCCCTACAACAAATGTCGCAGATGCTTATGCAGCCACCTCCGAGTATTAATACCCCACTTAATTTGCCAATTCAGTCTTCAAGTTCAATTACTGCAAGTCCCATCAATACTTCCATTATTTCCCAGCCAATTAAGCCTCCTATGCAGTCTTACCAGCCAATACAGCTCCCAACTTCCCACGTAGCGGCTCCTCAGCCTGTAATGGTCAATCAGCCAGAAGTTCAAAAAGTGACAATTCAACCGGCCATTATCAAGAAGTCCGTGAATTTGCAGCCGTTCCATCCCTTGCAGTCACAGACCACAAATCCGATCTCTACGCCTCAAAGTCAAAAGAGTTCGGATAAATCAATCTTGAATTCGATCATAACGCCAGCTGTATCGACAACTCCGAGCGCGTTCTCTGTATTGACTAATATCCCATCTGCTTCTACTCCATCTGTACCTCCAGCGCCAACAATTCAGGTTATTCAGTCAACAAGTCCAATTAAGGTTTACACGACACAGCCGCCAGCTGTCGTTGTGCAGATTAACAATGAAGCTCCTGCAATTGTTAAATCAACAGAACTTCAGAAAGTATTAGTTCACAAAAACGCTTCTAACTAGGTATTTGTATAGTTTTAGATTTGTAATTTAAATATAATTATTTTAAACATTTATTTTATTTAATTGCGTAACTCAGAATAAAAATTATGATTCATTAAATTATCTCTAATGCTTATTCTTGACTAGAGAAGTGGTGACATATTTTAACTGTTCCATGTTCATAGAAAATACGATTGACCAGAGATATCACTGTATATTAAGATTAATATATCAGATTGAGATGAGCTAAGTTTGAATTATCGTTATAAATCCTTTTTACTAAGCATATATTTGCGATTTTTGTGATTTCTTTATCATATTGCATTAAATGAGAGCAGATTGAACCAAATCTTCAGCATGAATCAATTTTTATATGAGAGAATGTATGCAAGAAGTTGATTAATGCAGTGGAATTTCACTTTTTCCGGCTCAAAATATAATCTTTTCCTTGAGCCAGGGAGATATTTGCTTGAGTGCTGGGGTGCGCAGGGAGCTGGCAGTGATGTTAGTCCACTTCCTGAAATGGGAGCTGGAGGAAGAGGAGGATATTCCTTTGGAACAATCTTCCTCCAAGAAAAAACAAATATTTTTGTTTATGTAGGCGGAACTGGCAAAGTTATAGATAGTGGATTTGCCGAAGGTGGATTTAATGGTGGTGGGAGTGCTTGGGGTACCACCACTAGTACAGATCCTGCAGGAGGCGGTGGAGGTGGAACAGATATCCGTCTGAACTCCGAAGACTTGTATTCCCGAGTTATTGTAGCGGGAGGAGGTGGAGGAGGAGGCGAAGATGGTGGACCAGGCGGATTTGGCGGTGGTTTGGAAGGCGAAACGAACCCAACAAATTTTGAATCTTATCCAGGAACTCAAACTTCCGCATCCCACGGAGCAACATTCGGACACGGCGCCCACACTTCCTACAATGGAGGAGGTGGTGGAGGTGGGTGGTATGGAGGTGGTGTGAGACTTGGCCAAGAAACCCCTGCCACATCTGGCACTATTTATGATACAAAAGGGGGTTCAGGTGGTAGCGGTTATGTTTACACCAAAGAAACTTTTCATAATTATCCTGAAGGATGTAAACTAAACAAATTCTATTTTCTCGAAGATGCAAAAACAATAGGAGGAAATGAATCTATCATCGAACCAAATGGAACATCCTCTATCGGTCACTTTGGTGATGGATATGTTAGAATCACTCTGTTAGCTTTTAAATACCAAAACATATTTTATAGAAATCACAGCGAATCAACATTATCTGTTTTGCTGAAAGATCAAGAATGTAATTCTTCTATATACATACCTTCATATATTGACGATAAAGCAGTCATCTCAATTCTCCCCGGAGCTTTTTATAGAAACACTTGCTTGAGAGAGGTGAAAATTCCCAAAACATTCTTTCAAATGCTGTGAATCTCAAAGACGTAGTTTTCGAGCAATATAGTCGCTGTCAATCTCTTGGTATGTCAGCTTTTTCAAATACATCGATTGAGATAATTTCTATTCCTTCTTCTGTATTTTCTATTGGAGAAAAGTGCTTCATGAATACGCTTATCAAATCTGCTTTCTTCGATATAAAGAGTGTGTGTAAGAATATTTCTGAAAAGTCGTTCTTCAACACAAGTTTGATTTCTATTTCTCTACCTAATTCTGTTGCCTTTATAGGTAACTATGCTTTCGCACATTGCATTTATTTGAAGTTTGTTTCATATTGTTCAAGTGTTTATCAAGAAAACAAAAATATTTTCGATAAGTCTGATTTGCTCTTGAATGTTTCTGTTCCTAATTATTATCTTCACTCTTCGTTTTGTGGTCTCCCTGCTTTGAATTACGGATATTGCAAATATGGATCGGTTCCAAAGTGCCCACTCTGCGTATACAAATCACACCAAAGTGTTTACGTATATTTGTGCGTTTTATTTGAATAAAGTATTGTTTTTTATTTAAAATTCTATTTAAGAGATTAAGAAGCTATGAAAGGTTTTGTAACTCAGAAGATTTCTTTAAAAATTAATCATAATTTTAAAGATTTGAAAATATAGCATAAATTTCCCTGTTTGTTTTTATATGTATGGTCTTCGATTCAATTTTTTAAAAGTTCAATGATCAGATGAAATTTAAGAATTGAATGATATGGATATGGATGGAATTGATCAAAGTCTAAGGCTTGGTCAATAAATTAGATAATAAAGATTAGATAGTCCCGGCTGGAATTGGAATTTTAGATGCTCGTGATAAAAACAAAAAAGTCAGCAGTGATGATTTGAAGAAAATGACCGGAAGGACCTAGAAATGAATTATATTATGGTGATCTGTTTGTTAAAGATCGCCAGATGACTTGATAATTTGATCGGAGAGAAACTGATAGAAATTAATCGAAATTTAATATATTTTCATAGAATTACTTGATACATTCATTAATAATATGAAGGAATACCTAGCTTAGAAATATATTTCGAATTTTTGATCGTAAGCAATTTTTATATGATATAATTGCCCATAGTTGGTAATAATGAATTGATAATCAGATATATTTTTCGGTTTTGACATCGTTTTAATTCAAAAACCTTTTGTATTTTTCAAACAAAATCGACGTTGTGAAATTTTCAACATCTTCGTTAAATTATCTTAAAAGTTAATATTTCGCTTTTCGAAAATTTAAGATCATTAAAAAAATTTTAACCTTCTCAAATTTCATTAGTTTTAGATGACGGATAAGCCACCTCCACCACCACCTCCTCCTCAGGGTAATACGAATCCATATGATGCCCCATCAGAGAATCCATATCAGGTTCCAGCAGAAAACGTTCAACCTGCTAATGCACCTCAACCAATGTATCAACCTCCTCCACCGCCTCCTCAGCAAGCTGGTCAATATTCACCACCACCGCCAGGTCAATACCCACCACCTCCACCTGGCCAGTACCCTCCAGGTCAATATCCACCACCTCCACCAGGACAATATCCACCGCCGCCACCTGGTCAATATCCGCCAGGTCAATACCCTCCACCTCCGCCTGGACAGTATCCTCCAGGCCAATATCCACCACCTCCGCCTGGACAATACCCACCAGGACAATATCCACCAAATTATTATGCTCAAGGCGAATACAAGGATAAGAAGAAGAAGAAAGATAAAAAGAAAAAGAAACACAGTTTTGCAGATGAGGACGCACTTTGCCTTGCAGCCCTTTGCAGCGTCTGCTTACTCTGTTTGGTGTGTAGTGATTAAGCAATTGTGTATCAGTGTACAATATGAAATTGTTAAATCTATTGTAATTTAAAATTTACGGATGTAACGATTTAAAATTCCAAATTTTATCTTGATTTCAGAAATGTCTTCAATGCAAATGAATCGTCAAAGTATTTGATCATTGGTTCAAATATTCACATGTTTATATTAACAATAATTCATGATTTGAACTCAATTTTTTTATGATTTTGGGAGTATTGGTTATGAAGAATGTGTGAAATTGCAAAAATTAGATACTTAATGTCATTAATTAGCGAAAATAATAAAATATTTTGACAATAAAATTGAAATTCAATGAATATCTGCAATTTATAAACCTTAAAACTCTCTATCTTTCAAAAATATAGATTTTCTTCATGTATCAAAAGATAGATTATTGGGAATAATATGTTTTGGAAAACAAACTGAAGCAAGATTAGAGGTGTTTACAAGAAACTATTTTCTGGCTTTATTGTATGGATTTTATATATGTGAAGACGCATAAAAAAAGCATTAATAATCAAACTCTATAAATCTTTATTAAATTCAAACAAAACAATAATATATTAATTCAAAAGCTAAGAGAAAAGATTGGCCATGGCTGCCTCCTATTAGAAGCAGTTAATGCGTAAGCAACAAATCCAATTGAAGATAATATTATCAATACGCACTGAAGATAGAACTGTTGATCTGTTATCTCATGAAATTCAAGGTAAAAGCGAGATGGTTGAACATTTGGATCATCTTTAAATAGTTTTAAGAAAAATGGTTTTTTCTTGGTCTTTTGTACAGGAATATCAAGCTTCTTCGCATTAATTATATCTAATGATGCTGTTGGAAGTTTTTCTCCAATGGAATTATATAGTTCTGTCGCTTCATTAATCCACATCAAAGAAGAAGTGGAAGATTTATCAATCCATGGAGAATGTGCTTCAGGAATTCTGATAGAAACTACTTGTGGATCTAAATATCTATTAATTCTGTGGGCAAGGAAGATATGATGGCCTGGAATTTCATAATTCCACCACCATTGAAGTGTCGTAATATTTCCTCTAAAGAACTTGATAATTAGACCATTTTCAAATGGGCCATAAGCTGTATTGATTGATTTTGTAAAATTCACGCGAGATGAGGTGTAAATACATCCGTAATGGATCATTTTATTAAATGTATCCATAGATGGTTCTATTAATAAAAAGTCTGTATTCTGTGTAGGTCCATATTCACCAAAAGTCCATGTTTGATACTCTGGTGCTGCAGCTGGTGGTCTGTAATCGAAAATCTTTGAAGGATTGTTTCTAAATATCGTGTATCCTCCTATATAAAGGAGTTTTGTATAATTTAGCGTCCAAATATTTAGTGTAAAGTAAAATTGTTTTTCTGTTGATGTCTTTTCGGGTCCTTTACATGGCCAATGAATAAATGGTCTGTAAATAATATGTGTATATACTGATTTAAGGATGTTGATATCGATAACTGATAATCTGAAATTATTAGGAATTATTAATACTCTATCAATAGTACTGTTGTATTTTTTGAGTTGATATCCTATAACTTGAGCATTGATCATCTTGTGATGCACTAAATCATCGGATGAATAAACATGAACAAATGCATACTTAGATTTCGGAGGTAAATCATTTTCAAACGTGATTTCTCCTTGCCCAGCGAACTCTTCAAATGAATAGAATTTGTAATCGAGAACTTTGGATAAAGAGAAGTATAAAAATAGAGAAAACAAAGTAAAATTATGACAAACTCTAAAACTAGTTGGTATTAAATCCAATAGAAATATCTTGTGCCAATGAATTCCTACGTAAATTTACAAAATAGCGAAAAAATTTAATCAAATTGCAAAATATTGAGGAAAATTGGATTATAAACAACATTAATTAACGCAAAATGAACATTTTAGAAAGATAAATAACAATTTAAGTTATAATAATAAGCTATGACTAATAATGGCGTATTCAGAAGTATTTAATTCAACTTAGAGCTATATACTTCTGGATATATATCATTTATCCGTAAAATTCAAATGCAGGGGAGTTCTTATCTATTGCTGTCCACATAATATTGTAAGAAGCAGGACCTGGAGAAGATTCAAGTGCTTTCTTACGCTGTTTCTCTGCTTCCTTTTCAAGTTGCTCCTTTGTCGGTCTAGGAGGAAGTTTATGTCCAGTTATCCTTTTAAATGTTGTTGGAGAATAAGCAGCAGGTCCTGGAGATGCGGTATGATAACTCTTCTCAGGACGAGCAGATTTTGGTATTGTGAGACCCTTAATTTTAGTGAATTCAGTATCTTTTGGATTATAATAAGGAGCACAGTTAATTGTTTCTGTTGATCTGCGAACAAGTGGACGAATTGCACATTGGCGAGCACCTTTTGCGAAAACAGTCTCAATATTGTATTTTCCTGGACCAGGCGTCAAGGTTGTCTTTGGTTCGTAAGAAGTTCCGTGAATATATGCATACTTTGTATCTTTTGGTCGATGAAGATAGTCAGCTGGACCAGGTGAGCTAACAGGTAATCGAGAATTTTCGTCCAATGATCCATTTCGAATTGTATATTTTGGTCCTGGTGAGTCAAAGCGTGGAGAATAGTCAAGAGGAGATGGGGTATCAACAGTTAACATCCAACTTTCCTTCTTAGGCCTTGGGCTGATAGTATAAGAAGGAGGTGTAGGCATATTGGGTAAAACTGGAATGTTAAACTGTCCAGGGCCTTGAATACTGGTAGAATATGATGGTTTCACTTTTCTTGGTGATGGTGTTGAACTGTTCTTTTGTGGATAATTGATTTTGAAATTAGGAGTAGCAAACGGCGGAGGGACATAGTAAAATCCTGGACTTGGTTGATCATTTTCATGAGAATTTTGACTATCAATTCCTAATAGATATGTTGATGAAGACTTTGGAGAAAGTGTGTACTTGGGGCCAGACCCAAAATCACTTTTAATAGTGTAATATCCTGGCCCTGGAGTAACAGGTTCTTCTCCTTGTATCTCTTTTCCCATTTCTTTGTGATTTAACTGATTGTAACCTTTTAAAATTGATTTAATCGTTGATATTTTTCTCATAGATTTTTGGAAATTTCTAATATATAGATTATGCAAAGCAATACTATACTTTATTTTTTCAGATCTTGTCAAATTTTTCAACCATGAATTTTACTAAAGCGTCTCAATATTGCATTCTCAATATGTCAGTTAAGATTTTTGATCTGGAATTTATGACTTTTTGAGAAGAGATTTAGAATTTTGAGAAGAAAAGAAAATTATGATCATACCTTATTTTGGGGAAAATCTATAAGAGCAGATCTGGCTCGTATCATCCTCTGCATAAAGAAGGAGAAGGATGTTGATCAATACATGTTCACAAACTCTCTTATTGAATGTGCAGAAGTGCAATTTTATATTTTCTTTATTTATTTTTAATAGCTTCATTACAAGCATAGATCTCGTCATCCATTTTTAGACTTATTTCAATTTATGGTTTTACAAAATTACGAAGAGCGGTTTGACATGGCCTTTTCCACTTATGAAGGCTCAACGCTGCACAAAGGTCCGCCGCATTATCGAAACAGGCCTCTTCTATGCTGAACTCAACGAACTCCTCACACGTGAGCTCACAAAGGAAGGTTATGGTGGCTGCGAAGTTCGCCAAACACCAACACGCACAGAGATCATCATCAAGGCTGCCAACACAAAGGAATTCGTTGACAACCATGGCCGCCGTCTCCAGGAAGTCCGTATGATGATCCAGAAGCGCTGGCGTCTTAAGGAAGACTCCCTCGAGATCTTCATCGATCGTATCCAGCGCAAGGGTCTCTCCGCCCTCAATCAGCTCGAGTCCCTCCGCTACAAGCTTATCGCTCGTATCCCAGCCCGTCGTGCTGCCTACTCCATCATCCGCTTTGTTATGGATGCTGGCGCTCGTGGTTGCGAAGTCGCTATCTCTGGTAAGCTCCGTGGTGCTCGTGCTTCCACATCCAAGTATAAAGAAGGCTACATGGTCAAGTCTGGTGATGTTACAAAGCAATTTGTTACACAGGCTGTCGGCCACATCCCAATGAAGCAAGCTACAATTGGTATCCGTGTTCTTATTATGCTCGCTCAGGACCCATCTGGCATTTCTGGTCCAAAGGAGTCTCAGCCAGATGTTATCAAGGTTCATGAGGCTAAGGATTAAGAATATTTAAGATTGGATTAAATTATAGCATGGGTAATTAGAATTACTCATTTTAATAGCAATTTCTTTCCTTTTTTTAAGTTATTTCTTATTTTTCAATTATTGATATAGCTTATGTCATTTATTGGATTGTGTATTATTACTTTACCTCACTAAAATGAAATTTCCTTACGTTATAATGTCTTTCATCTATTAATTTTTGAATATTGTTTTTATATTTTTATTGACCATTAGCGATCCTAATCATAAGGGAATGAACGTGATATATTTTGTTGATGTCTTTGTTTAATGTGTCTATTAATGTAATTATTTTAAAAAAATTATTAAAATGAGTGTTACATCATAAGCATATGAAAATTTATAAAATATGATGAGTATATTTAAATGAGAAAAACTAAATAAAAGATAACAGAATTTATTTTCCAGATAAAAGCATTTGGAGTTCTTGGAGAGTTCTTCTATTTGAAGTTGGCTCACTCGGTGGCTGAGGAGCTGCTGGCTGTGGTGGTGCTGGTGGAGGAGGTGGAGGAGTTTGCTGCTGTGGCTGTGGAGCAGGTGGAACTGCCTGTGGAGGTGGCATGTATGAAGGAGGAGGCTGCTGTCCGTATCCCTGAGGAGGAGGTGGTGGAGGTGGTTGTCCGTATGCTGGTGGTGGATAAGCAGGAGGTGCTCCGTAGTGGTTTTGTGGTGGTTGTTGGCCGTATCCCTGAGGTGGAGGTGGTGGCTGCTGTCCGTAAGCTTGTGGCTGAGGATATGGGTAAGGAGGATATCCGTATGGAGGTGGCTGGTTGTAAGGAGGCATGTATGGATAAGGATATTGAGGATATTGGCCGTATTGAGGTGGTGGAGGAGGTTGATTGTAATGATTATTGTTATGGTCGTTTCTTCTGCCTCTGTTATCTCTGTCGTGGCCACGTCTGTTGTCTCTGTCGTGAGAATCAGAACGTCTTTGGTTTCTTTGGGGTTCGGGTTCTTCCTGTTCGAGGCCGTCGTCTTCTCCTAGCTTTAATTCGACCTTGCAAGGCTGTCCGCCTAAAATAATCGGATCCTTGCATTCGACGGCTTTCGTAGGAGACCTTAAATCATAGAACTTAACCACATAAACATTATCTGAATCCTTACGTATAGTCAGAATATCTCCGAAGGTTGAGAAAGCGCTTCGGACTTCAGCTTCAGTTACTCCTGAAGTTGATTGTAAATGTACACTCACCGTAGCACAAAGAGGATCCTTACGTTGTTTTCTAGCCTTATACGCATAATTCATTCTTACTACTCTATCGTTTAACGTTTCGTTTCTATCTTGTTCAACTGCGGCGATTGCTGACCTAAGATCATAATATGTCACAAAATAGTTGCCATTCTCACGCTTTTCATATATATTTTGTACTTCACCAAATTTCTCAACAAATTTTTTAAACTCAGCTTGGTCAATCTTGTACGGAATACTGAAAAAGAAAACAGTATGCACAGGTACAATATTATTCTCCTGAAATTGTTGGCCACCTCTCATATAATACTGAACCTTTTTTTCAGGAGACTTTTGTTGCTGAGGTGGTGGAGCTGTAACAGCTGGTGGAGGCTCATCATTTTGTTGGTCCTCGACCGGCGGCTGAATATTCTCAGGTTCGTCTTGCGAACTTGAAGAGTCACTCATCTTGTCTTTTTTGGCCTTGCCACTTTTTGTAAAACAAAAAAAAGGTTCGGATCTTCTTTTTGATTTTAATTGGGATAATAGTTAGTTTTTAAAAGCAAAGTTATATTTTTGGTGAAAAATTTAAATTAATCAAGATGATTTTTTATTCGCAAAATAAATTTTGCCTTGAGTTTGTTGGTTCTCAGTTATGCAATCAGAAATCATACAAGTATATAATCGATAGTATTAATCTAAGATATATCTGTAGTTAATAGTGAAATTTTATCGATATTCCTCACAATCTATATATAATGTCAGGGAATAGAAGAAAAGTGATTTCATGCTATGGTTTAAGATAAAAATGTGAAATTATTGTTTAATCGTTGATAAAATTAAGGATAACTCTTTACTTAAAATTCTTATAGGTCTCCATTTCAGGGGCAACCTTAGCTAATGCGTGCTTGCAGAGTGCATCAAGCTCCCAAGCCTTAAGAGCGCGGGCATTCTTGTGAGAAGATGTAGATCTGAAGACGAACCAGGTTCTCTTCTTAGTGGTTGTTGTACTTGTGGCTCTAAGGAATGTCTGACAATTAACCTTGCCAACTTTGATTGCGAATCTTCTATCTCCTGTTTTAACAGAATAGAGGACGGCGCCATTGTAAGTTGAAAAGCGAGTATCGAATGATGTTCCTGGGCTCATTGCGAATTTAGAAAGAAGAGTCTTTGAGCCAGATGAAAATTTGGATCTTGTGAGGAAGTTTTTAATTTGGTTATAGTCAAGACCTGTTTCGGCATAGATTGAATAAGCTGCATCAGTTGGATCTTTTACGTTGTAATTTGAAACAGAGCAATGCTTTGTTGTTGAAAGCATGGCCATTGGATCATCAGATGTGGTTGTTTTTGATGAGCCGAAGAGACCATTGGCCTCAGGTTCGGGTTCCTGAATGGAAGATTCAGCCCAAACTCCGACGTTGAAAACAGCTAACAGCATTAATTTTGGAGAAAAATTCTTGAGTTATAAATCAATTTTGCAAAAATTTAAAGATCATAATCAGATGGTATTCGTGTTGATTTTTTAAATTCAATTTACAAATCTTTGATCCTCAGAAATTTTGTATTAACATTCAAAAGAATGAGTTATTTGATATATTAGCGTAATATTAGATAGACAATAACTTTCCAAACTTCAATATTAAAATAAACCGTAATTTGCCATGCTTTTTGCCAACAGTTTGGAATTCACAAGATATAGTAAATATTAAAAGTAGCATTTTGAGCATGTTTGATTGAAAAATAATTTGAGGGTTAATTCAAGCTTAATTTATGAAAAAAATATAATCACCATATGTAAATATGCATTTTTCAATAATTTTTGAATTGTAAAGTGATCTGCATTTTAATTCAAATTTCATCGTCATGAATATTCAAATCTAACTGAATATATCAATGCAGATAGCCAATATTTAAAAAATGAAATAAGGGTTTCGTTTTGCTAAAATTGTCACTTTTATAGCATATTTGTTTTTGGATGTTTTGCGAAACCAAAAAAAAAACTATGATATACAATGTGTGTGTAAAGAAAATACTTTATTTACTAGTTAAAAAATCATTTGGTATTGATCAAGTTATTTTTTCTGGATAAGATATTATATGGATAATTGGATAGAAAATACAATTATATAATCTTGTACCTGGTTTAATTAAGCTAATTGTCATCAGAAACTTGTAATTTTTATGAATTTCAGATTTTCTTTTCATTACTGCTTTTCTTAATAGGTCAAGTTCTTATTTACGTTATAAAGTATGATATTTACAAATATCAAGTTATCATGTTTTTTGAGAAATTATGAGAAACAAACAAAAATGAAAAAGATAGGAATAGCAATGAATAGTGATGTGGGTATAGAAAATGTAAGAGATATGAATGCAAAGCAATCAGTATTTAGGATATTGACCATAGATTTCGAAAAAAAAATGCTGCATATTGAGCGAAAACTATGATTATATTATAAGGCTGTCATTTAAAGCATAATGAAACTATTCCCTTTTCATTTTAATCGAATAAGATAGTAAAGATTTTTGAATTAGCTAGAAACTGATGAGATGTTTTCACAAATCAGATTTTTAATCTCTATAATGCATAATTTACTCAATATCTCAATTTTGATATTGCGAGATATTTTTGCTATCGGTTTCGCAATTTTGACACAATAGCAAGAGGGTTCTATTGTAATAAACAGAAATTCATCAAAAGTGACAGCTCTCAATTTTTTGACATTTGTAAATTCTAAATTGAATGAGAAAAATGAAATAATACTAAGCATAATACAATATTCTAGATTTAATTATAATTAGGAAAAAGTTAGTTTTGAGAGTACTTTTCATAGGCATATAGAATGAAATCTTCTGAAAAATAATATCACATAAACTCATATTATTTTCTAATATATAACTATTTTATATAAAAATCAAATTCAATGATCTTAAAAGCGAAGGATAAACCTCAAAATTTACGAATATAATGAGTGGGAATATAATGCTTATCTATCATAAAACCATATGAAATATCAATTTTTGCTTTACGCCTAATTTTTGACGACAATTAGCAAAAAATGTTAAATGTTAACACTCAGTCCATTTGAATATGAAAAATAAAATTGACTTTGATTAAATGTTTTTATTTATCATGCAATTCTTCTTGCGACCAAAGATTTGAATAAAAGTTCAAAAAATAAGATAGCTTAAAAAATAATATACGGTAGTGTTTACTAATAGATGAATAGTATATAAATTCTATTAAAAAAAAAAAAAAAAAGGTAGTGGGGCTTCCAGGCACTTCGTGCCTTCTAGCCCTGATGTTGATGTTTAGTATAAATGAAGTTTTTATTCGGAGGACTCTTCTTCTTCCTCCATTGCTTCTGGGAAGAAGCCTTCTTCTGGGTCGAAAACATTATATAATGTGTCGCTTTTCACAAATTATATATGTTTTCATGTTTTGTCACTTTTCTGTCACTTTTCAGGGAAAAACATTTTTATTATTATATATAAATGAATTTTACAAAACCACCGTTACCGTTCTTTGGAAATAAGAGTAGATGTAAAGATATTATATTGAGAGAACTTAAGAAACTACCGAATGGTCTAACATTTGTAGATTTGTTCGGTGGAAGTTTCTATATATCCCATTTGTGCCATATAATATTTCCAGACTCAAAGATTATATGCAATGACTTCGACAACTATATGGACCGTCTCAAACATATACCAGACACAAACAATATATTGAAAGAGTTAAAAGAAAAGATTCAGATAGGTAAGATGGAACGTATACCATTAGATAAGAAAAATATTGTGAGAGAGGTTTTGAAAAAAGCAGAATATATAGACTGGAATAGTATATCTGCTAGACTATTATATAGTGGTGCTATAAGAGTTCATGACATTGAAACACTTATGTCAAAAGTTTTATATCTTAACTATACAAATGTTTTCAAAGAGGACATAGAAAAATATATTGAGGGTATAGAGTTTGTGAGATGTCATTGGACAGAGTTGTATGAAAAATATAAAGACAAGGAAAATGTTTTCTTTATAGTGGACCCGCCGTTCTATAACACATGGGATTTTCAATACCAAGTAGACTGGACTTTGAGAGACTCTTTAGAAACTTTAGACGTTATACATAACCATCCATGCTTTTACTTTACATCCGATAAAAGTGGTTTGGAAACCGTTATGAGATGGTTAGAGGACATACATGACTATGAGTTTATATATGACAAGATAGAATATGAGAGAGGACCTATAAACTGGAGAAAGTGTCACAATAAAGAAATTTTATTAGTAAGTAAATGTGGTTTGAAATCGGACTACTTGTTTTAGGTTTTTTCCATTGTGTCATTTATTTCTTTGACGTGGCAGAAAAGTACAGAGAATATGAAGATGAACCAATGCCTGCAAATGTCCAGTATATGTACTCGTAAGAGATATTTTTATCTAATATTAAATGGACGCACAGAACTTAGCGAATGCACAGCAACCTGGACAACCAAACCCAGAGAATATTCCAAATGAAGTTAGAATACAAACTGCAATGGCAAACTATGGTCAAGTGCCAACAGATGTACAAATGCAAACTGCCATGTCAAATGACGCTGCGTTAGGTTTGCCACCATGGTATGCAAATATGAGATGGAAAGAGTTTTATACAAACCCTGAAGTGGGATATAAACAACTTTATGCAGATGACGCGAAACAGGAGTTGACCCAGAATATGTTTTCTACCAGAGAGAAACAGAATGTATGAGCTCCAGTTAAAGAATGCTATGGAACTCAACAGGAAACGTAAGAGACTAGGCGGACATTAGATTTTTACATATAGTAAAATGGGTTCTTCAGTAAGATAGGAAACTTCTTTCGAAATGTTGGAAGAGGTATATGGAATGGAATAAAAACCGTAGGAAGAGGAATTTGGAACGGAGTCAAAAATATTGGTAAAAGAGTAGGTCAGTTTGTTGGTATTATACCTAAAGACCCTGAACCAGAAGAACAAGCTCCTGTTATACAACAGCCTGAACCTGCACCACAGTCTAGTTGGCAACCAAATCCAACACCTCAACCGTATTAAAAAATTATATTTTTACCGTTCGATAGTAGTTGTATATGAAACTAAGTTCTAAGTAAAACGCATGGTATAATGGAATTATTCTTTTTCTTCATCTGTAGTAAACCATACTTGAAAGTCTGAAATACTTCCACTTGGTGGTTCGTATAACTTTGTAGGTTTTTCGTAAAAGTCATTTGCCAAGCATAAGAAAGAGTTTTGGGCGCCAGAAAATGAAGCATGAACAATAATAGCAGCTGGTCGAAAACATCTTTAAATAAATATGGTTCATCTCTTGCATATCGACTGTAAATATTTGCTAAAGGAAGTTCGACTTTCTGATTTAACATTCTTTGCAAATAATACCATGACATTGCAGTGAATTCTGTATATATTTGTTCGTCTTTCTTTGGATTGTCTTCGTAGATTTGAAATGACACTTGTGAATTTTGTTTGTCATATACAATTCTCACATAAAGTGTGCTCTCGGTATTTGCATATTCATCAGCAATATTTTGCATAACATGAATTTATTTTATCTTCTATATTTTTTAACGCAGTCTGTAGAGAAGATGAAAGGTCAACTTGTATTAGCTCAATTTCTTCCCACATTTTCGTTTCCCTTCAGATATATAATCTATATGAAACCTTACAATAAATGGAAAACTTTTATCTTCTACAGACACAAACTTCATTCTACGAAAGCCAATAGCTTTTGTGACAGATGGGTCTCTTAGCCATCTTAATGGGTAGTCAAAACGATAGCCTTCATGCTTTACGGTCTCTGTCTCAAACTTTTGACCGACATTAGTAAAAAGTTCATCTAATGGTTTAGTGTAGCAACTCTTGAATTTTCTTTTTTCTATTGGAAGCATATTTTATCTAGAATAAAAATGTCAAATGAAACAGCGTCTATGAGAGAAATACAACACAACCGACAAACTCATTATGCAAGCTCTAAATAAGAACACAACAAACTTTTCAAACTATTCTAAGATATCTGAGTCATTGAAAGAAGGAAAACTTAAAACTGACATTAAACCCAATGACAGATGAGTTTCTATTTCAAGACAAGAAGAAAATACTGTCTGTATAAATCCAACAAAAGGAACTTTAAACGAAAACCTATAAATGAACTTCTTTTGAAAGCAGATGTTGACAACAAAGCTGACAAAGAAATATGTAGACGATGCAATAGCAAAAGAAGAAGAAAGAGCTAACAATGCTTATGCAACAAAAGAACATACTCATCCTGAACTAGCAGACAAAACATATGTTGACAATAAAATGTCAAGTGAAGTGACAAGAGCTGAAAACGAATATTCTAAAAAGATCATATACATTCTATATCTGAAATAACAGACTTAAACGTTAGCCTTGAAAAGAAAGCAGATAAGGAATATGTGGCTAGTAAGTTAGAGAAGAAAGCGGATAAGGAATATGTGGATGAAAAAGATAACGAAATGAAAGAAAGGGTTGACTGGTACCATGAATGGACATCGAAGACTTTTAAAGTTAAAGCCGATACAGGATGGGTTTCAGGATGTTTTAGACCTTAAAGCAGATAAAACTTATGTTAACGATGAGTTAGAGAAGAAAGCAAATAAGAACCATACACATACAAGTTTTACAACTGTTGCTATAGAAAGTATTGAAGGAACGGTTGAAGAAACTGGTGGGATGCAATATATTGTAAACCTCCTAACTTTCCACAAGGTTTAACATCGGATGACGACATAACGACGATGAAAACATTAGATGTAAAGATGTTTTATGTCATGAAGGATGTATAATATTAAATTCACTGCTCAAGATTTATATGACAAGAAAGCAGACAAAACAGAGCTTCAAAACATAAAGACAGAAATACTTCAAACATTATATCCTATAGGCTCTATTTATACGTCAATTGAACTCTACCAGACCAGAAACAGTTCTGGGTTTTGGAACTTGGACTCAAATAGTCGACAGGTTTTTTGTATTGTGCAAACTCTTAAAGGAAACAGGTGGAAGTAAAACGATTTCAGGTGAAAATTTACCTGCACATAGTCACTACATAGATTTAAGTACATCTCAAGCAGGTTGGCATAAGCATAATTTTTGGGATTGGTCGGCAATGAAAAAAGGTAAAGGATATGATGTTAAAGACAACGTTCAGTTTGCTATAAATTGTTTCTCTGGGGTAACACTCAGGAGATGGAAACCATACACATCGCGTTCAGGATATACGCAAACAACGGGACAAAGTAAAGACTACATGCCACCTTACATGACAGTTTACGCATGGTATAGAAATGCTTAGTTCGTCATTTTCAACTTCTTTAGCATATTCGTCAGGAGTTTCTTATATTTGTTAGGAACTGTCTTTGAAAGTATACCACCTTGAACTTTGACAAGTTTGAAACGAGGTCTGACAATAGTAGTTTTATCTTCTGCTTGCAGTGTGTACATTTTGCCATGTTTGCCTAAAAACTTCATAATATTCTCTTGTATACTTTCTTCTCTATTTTTACGAACACGAATGTGAGTACCTGTCGGGTTCCATTGTTGTCATAGTCAATAGTATTTTCATATGGGTCGCGTTTAGGTATTTCTATTTTTACTTTTGTCACCTTCTGAAGTTTGAAGCCCGGCATTCTTCTTGTTTGTCTCTTTGACTAAATTATTAAATATATAGTCTTTCTCTAAGTCAGGGTTGTTTTCATTTCTTCGGGGAGTGGTTTCCCAAACCTTTTTGTTTACGGCTATTGTAAATATTTAAAACTTGTCTCATCTTTGCCATGGAGAAGTGTCTAACTTGTCGTCATATGACATTTCATTTGCTTCACCACCTTGTGGTTGGTTTAAGTCTCTTAACATTTTTATACAACCGTCAATGACAACAAAGCAGAATGGTTTTGGTCGACAATGAAATATTGGTTTACATTTTTTGAACGCAGATAGTTTTTACATCATCTGATTTGAAAGAACTTTCACAGTCAGATGTCAGTTTTGTTGGATGGTATTTGTCAACGAATATTGTCAAAGCAGTTTTCACATCTAAAATATTTTTGGACCATAATGGTATGGCTTCACAGTATCTTGTGTTTTGACCGACAAATATTAGCCAGTATGGAGGTCCATCTTCTCTATACCTCGGAATGTTTTCCAAGATATCCATAAACCAAGCATTTGGTGTTGAACTAAAAGATTTTATCATGAGTGCTTTCTTTGTTGCCTTAGAAACATAGGGGTCCTTGTTTGGATTCGTCATTTTTTAACCCATAAGAAATGGGTTTATTTGGCGCATTAGCAGGAGTTGCATCCAGATTTTTGCCCGCAGTGGGAACAATAGCCAGAGGTGTATTTGGAGTTGGAAGGAAGATTTTGAGTACATTAGGTATACTTAAAGAGAAAAGCACAACCTATTATACAAACTGTACAGAAAGGTTGGGATGTAGCACGAGATGCAACAATCTTATTCCAAATCCTGAAACAAGAGGAAAAGTTCAAGGATGGATGGACAATGTAGGAAGACAAGCAGGAAACTATTATAACAAAGCAAATGACTACTATAACCAAGCAGGACACTATATGGACCAAGGTGAAAGATTCTTTAACAGAGGATATAACCATGCACAACAATGGGTAAACAATAACCAACCTCAACCGCCTCAAACGTGGGGAATGTAAAGTTTTTTACTGAGATGAAATGAACAATACAGCATTGAGACAAATGGGTTCAAGATGGATTTGTCGACTTCCAGCAGTTACACAACGTGTTTGTCAAGTTCTTCCTATACCTCAGGAAGTTTTAGACCGACTTAAAAAACAACAACAACCAGTTGAAAACAAACCAAACTAAAATTTTTTACTGAGATGAAATGACCGAAGAAGTTGAAACGGTAGATTTGACACCACAAACAAAAAGTTCAGAACCATTGTCAAAACCTGTCAAAGAACTTACAGATGAAGAGAAAAATTCAATAATAGAAAGTGCCAGGTCTGGAAATACAAACCCTAACTATAAAGTCACTTTTCATAGAAATGGAACGGCTAGTATCTCAAAAAAGAAACAGACTCTCACAAATAAAATATTGAAGTCTGAAGGAGCTTTCGAGACAACAGATGGAAAAGTTTACTTCACTGACCAACAGTTCATTATAGAACATCTCATTGACTTAGAGTCGAAATATTCTAAACTTTACAACAAACACAAAAAGTTGAAAGGAAAACAAAAACAAATGGCATATGATATTTATGAAGATGTTGACGACACAACTGTTCCTGCAAGTGGGTAAAGTCAGAGGAACCGAAAAGTGACGAAAAACCGATAGAAGAAAAAACCAAAAACTGAAGATAAACCAAAACCAAAGTTTAGTTTAAACTAAACCAAGTCAACCTTCATTAGCTGGTATGGGTTGGCGTCAAAGACTTATGGCAGCAGGCGGTTATGTAAAGTAAAGAAAAAAACATTTTTTTATTTTTATAAAAATGCCCCCATATAGAATGGATAGAAAATCTGCTAGAATAAAAGCAGAGTTGCAAAGATATGGTTGGAGAGTTTCGAAGAAGTTTAAATATAGGAAGGGAAGACCCATAAAAGTCTATGACAAACTGGCTGGTCTTCGCTACGAAATGGATTTGGAAACAGCACGTGCAATTATCCAAACAGACTAGAGAGGTTAGAAGAAGAACGTCTTATGGACATGCCTTTCGATGTTAGTGAACCTCAAGTTGAAGGACACGACGGCTTTGCCAGATTCTACTGGAAACATGACGAACAATTGCATCCTTTGAGAAGGAAAAAAGGAAAAGGTGAAGACGCACATGCTCCCATGGAAAGAACAAGATATGCATATGAAAAGTATCGTGAAGTTAGAAGTCAAATTACATCTGGTCGAACCTTTACAGTAAACTTTGACGAAGGAAAGAACAAAGAAGGCTTCATGGGTGTACTTGCTGCCATACAAGACGGAAATAAGAAAGGATACAATCTCAGATTGACCATAACGGATTTGGATGGTCACATTTACTATGCAAATGGCAATGAACAACAGCTGCAAAACTTCTTGACGCTTTCAAGACTACAAAGAGAGAACAAATGGTTGACTCCGACTCAGACATTTTGAATGCAATTGAAGGAATTGCAAGTGTCAAGTTCGAATGGTACCAACCTAACCCTCAAGCAGTCAGACAACATGCTGGATACTTCCCGTTCATAAATAAGTCTGACATTGACTTGACAAGGTATGGAATTTACAATTCAATTGAAACAATTGTCAATGAACCTTGCATTCTTACATGTCTCAGGAACTCTGGTCTTGTTACAGATGAGAAGATGAAGTATCTTGAGTCATGTGTGAAGACAAGGTACATTCTCAGAGGTCAATTGGCAAAAATTGCACCGTTGGCAAATGTCAATATCCGAGTCAACATACCTACAGCTAAAGGTTCTTCACATGACGACTATGTTGTTGAGTTCAATTTACCATGGTTGAAGATTGCAATTGTCCACAACCACTTCATGTTGAACGAAAGTCTTACAAACCCATTGTTCGGAAAAGGCAAGTGCAACATTGTCAGAGCTGTAAACATTCTTTTCGAGAAAGGTTTGTTGGAACCAATTCCAGATGACAAGCTGACAGAAACTTTTGTACCAAAAGACGAAACAAACTTTTCACTGTTAGCAAGACCAAAAGTTGTTCCAGACAAAGTTCTAGTACAAAAGAAGTACACAATTCCACAAGGAGTTGGATTGTTCGGATACCAACCTGAACCAGAAGAACTTCCAATGAGGTTGCAAGAACTTCAAGATGCTATAAACAAACTTCCATTGAGACATCCAATTGACGTCAAATTGTATTGGAGAGCATCTGAGTTAGGTCAGAAGGTTTTATATGAAACAGGTTGCTTCGACGATGTTTATGAGATAACAGGAGAAGTTTCTCAGAAGATAAGAGACTCACTTGAATTTCCACAAACTGGACCAATTGGTTGCGACAAGTTCGACTCAGATGAAAAGATATACTATGTCGACCTTAACGCTGCATACATGAGGTTTGTCCAATATATTCCGACTGGAATTCCAAACGAAGATGGTGAGTTCCCGGGAAGGAACTATACAGTTGGAAAAGTCATACAACAACTGTATGATATTAGGAAAGCTTCAAACCCCAAACTTGCAATGACACTCAAATTGCTTATGAATTCGACATGGGGATATTCCATTAAGAAACCTCAAGAGATGAAGAGTAAACATTATGAGAAGGTCGACAACTTTGTTGAAAGGTTTTCTCCTTTTGTTTTGAAGTACGAATTCACTCAAGGTCAAAGTGGCTTAGTAACCACATTAAAACCTATTGTCGAACATTGGTCTTACCCTCAGTTCGCAAAGGCAGTCCTTGACAACTACAACAAATTCTTCTCCGAAGTCAAATCAAAGTTGAAGGTTTACTATGAGAACATTGACGCACTCATGACGAACGAAGAAGGATACAACAAACTCATTGAAATGGGATGGTCGGTGAAAAGATGGGTCAATTCAAATTGGACAAAATTTTCACCGAAGTTCATGTCCTCTCCAAGCGTAAGTACTGGGGCATACTTGAAGACGGCACAGAAATAAAACATTGCATGAAATAAAAAATTTTTATTCGAATTTGAATTAAAATGTGGGAATTCTTGGGAACGGGAAAGGCTTATTTACTTGAGGAACAGGTAAAGGTGGTGGAGGTGGAGGTGGTGGCAACCAGTCCATTTTATATTCCTTCCTAGCTAATTTCCGTTTAATTTCATGGTCGCCCTCGGAGTCTTTGAATCGGACAGGTCGAGTTACACCATTCTTGGTCTCAAACTCATATATAACCTGTTTGTCTGTATTTTCGTCGACTATGGCACGAGACACGAACATTGACCAAACGGACAAAAAGTGTCATTTCGGATGGTCACGCAGCCAATCGCATTCGAGCACTTCGAAGAAGCCTTACGTTCCAAGGGAGAGGGTGTCTGGTGCAAGGCAGAGGTCATGAAACTCTACGAGCAGTACATCCTCAATGCCTGGGAGGACAAATCGTCCTTGGATTGGCAATTCTACCAACTCCTCTGGGACGACCTCCTACGCAACTGGGATAACGAAAGAGCCCAATTCAAAGGTGGGAACTAATTTTGCAAATTACCCTTAATTTAACATACTTATCCAAATAAACACCTAAATTTACTTGGGGTTTCCCCCTAAAATAAAATTTTTTTACTCTTAGAACCACTCGAGGTTCTCCTTACGGTTGTTGAGCTTGTCACCGTCAATGTGTCTGACCCTCGTCTTCTTGTCTGGATTTGGAACCCATTGAATTGCGACAAGCTTGCCCATGGAAATTGAACCGCGATTCCGAAGGTTAAGGTTCAAGTGTCCCAAGTTGTTGAGGACTGGGGTAAGAACCTTGCCGGTCTCCTTGTTGCGGATTTGGTATGGGTAGGGTTGGGAAATTTCGTAAGTGTCATCGGCAACAAGGGTTGCCCATGTAGCGGCTTCAGGAACTTCTTCTTCTTCCTCTTCTTCCTCTTCTTTGATAATACCTTCGGCAATTCTGTGTTCACGAAGTACGGTGTTGCATGTTCTGTCCTTTCCGAGTACCTTCCAGATGGCGTCTATCTCTTCGAAGAAACGGTAGATGAGTCTGGCAAGGTCTCGGTTCTCTCTCGCGTAAATGCGCAAGGTTTCCGTGAAATCGTTCAGGCGTTTCTCATTGGAAGCTTGGTTCATGAGGACATCGGCTTTGAGATTGGTCATCTCTGTCATAAGACTACTTTGGAGAGTCTTAATGGTGTTTGTCAGATGAACTTTCAATTGGGCAATTTGAATTTGAACTGGGCGCTTGTCTGGCAACCATGAAAGGACATCTGCTATTGTGTTCGGCTTCGGTGCTTGTTCGGACATCGAAAAAATGAAGTGGTTTGAGAATGGCGGTTTTACTTCAAAAAGCTTGTTATGACAGTTATGTCATACAACAAGTTTAAAATAATATCTTGTTCTTCTTCTGAACGTTTGTTGTCTCTTCCGATAAAAGTTTCGAACATGAGAACCAAAAAACGTTTTTTGAGATTGCGGAAGAGTTCAGGCAAACGTTCATATTCCGGATATGTTGGGAGCAGTTCGAAACATCTGAGCTGACTTTCGGACAAAATTGGGACAATGTCAACAAATTCATCTTTGGTCGGACTGCTTGAAGGTAAGTCCCTTACATGTAAGTAGCTCTGGTAAAGTCTTCTCATTTCTGCTAACTTTTGGAGTATAGCTTCGTAGTTTAGAAGTTTTAATTTTAATTGTCTTATTCCACTCTTGACATCTAAACGGTAACTATCCATGAGGTCAAGAGTAGCTTTGGTAGCTTTAAGTGGAGCTATCTGTTCCTTGACTTGTGCAATTTTGGTTGCAATTGTGGTTTGAGCTCCTTCAAGTTCGCCGTCTATGTCGTTCTCAACACCTTCAACCATAGCTTGAAACTCTTCATCGGTCCATTGAGATTGGTGTGGGACGAATTTAACTTGCTTCATTCAAAAAATGAAAAAAAATGTTTTTACTCTAAACGTTAAGGTTTACTGAATTGGTTGGATGTCGCCTTCTGAGGTTATGAAGAACGGCCGTCCTGAGAAGTGGAACAGTGCTCTGAGAATTTGTATAATTCGTGGAATTGGACTCTCTCTGTTTGGAAGTTGTATCCATGGGCGCTTTGCAAAGAACTTGAGAAGAGCTTCTTTCTTCATCTCCTTTATGTCGTCTACAGGAGTTTTTTCTGGTATTTGAATTGGAATTCCGGTTTCAATTTCGATTTTCAGCGCACCTCTTCCAGACAACCAGAAGCCGAGGGACTTGTTGGCTTTGTCCTTGCCCAAATACTGCTTAACAACTTCATTTATCTCTATAAGGTAAATTGCCTCATCTAATGGCTCGATGTTGTCCATTGCACTGCTTCAGAACAATACTTGTACTTTTTCAGAACAATACTTGCACTGCTTCAGAACAATACTTGTACTTTTTCAGAACAAGACTTGTACTGTTTCAGAACAATACTTGTACTTTTTCAGAACAATACTTGTACTTTTTCAGAACAATACTTGTACTTTTTCAGAACAAATTTCCCGTAAAAGCTCTCAATTTGTGAGAAAAATTTTCTGTTTCAGAACAAGACTTGTACTTTTTCAGAACAATACTTGTACTTTTTCAGAACAATACTTGCACTGCTTCAGAACAATACTTGTACTTTTTCAGAACAATACTTGCACTGCTTCAGAACAATACTTGTACTTTTTCAGAACAATACTTGCACTGCTTCAGAACAATATTTGTACTGTTTCAAGACAATGTCCGACGTACCACCAACCCAGTCCATTCCCAAACCAGAGGAACCTAAAGCACCAGCCCCTGCACCTCAGTTCCAGCAAGTACCTCCGATTTACTACCAATTTCCACCTCAAGGTTACTACCCACCACAAGGCTTCCCGAACTACCCTCCTCAGCCTATGCCTTACTTCCCCAACCCTTGGATGTTCCAGCAAGCTCCACCCCAGCAATTCCAATCTCAATCTCAATCCAAGAGAGACCAAGAGTTCGAGGAAGGTCTGAACCGCTTACGCAAAGAGTATGCCACAGCCCCTATGGAAGACGACAGGCTTTCAGTCTCTTCCCTCAAATCGACCGATTCCACTCGTACCACAGATTCGGTTCGTGACCGTGAAGACTACCTCAAGCAGTCTGAGAGACTCTTCATCCTACAATCATTTACAGTTGGAGCTCTCAAGAACATGCGCAATTACGAAGGTCAGACACCAGCTGGAGACCGCAAAACAGACGTACTCGCAAGAGCCGTCCAGCTCGTCAAAACAAAGACTGAGATAGTCGACTTCATTCTTGCAGCTTGCCCTTACAAGTAAAAAAATAAACAATTACGAATTAAACTTTTTACTCTTTCTTTTCTGAGTTGTTTAGAGCTGGTTTCTCTTGTAAAACCTTTCGTACTCTTCCATGGTCATGTAATTGCGAATTTGGTACGCAATTCCAGGTTCGTTGTTTTTGAACCTTACGTATGTAACGCTTCCATCCTCCTCAGGGAAGTAAGCTGCTAACATCTGACCAAGTTTTCTCGGTGACTCGGAGCTCATTAAAAATGTCACTTTTTAAACGTTAAGTTTTTAGTCTTATTTTACCCTTTGTTTGTCAAGGTAGTATTGGAGTGCAATTTCTCCAAATTCTCTGTGTCGGAGTTCTTCAGCATTTTCCAAGGTGTACCTGGAGAACTCAAAGAAGTTGTCAAGAAGATACTGCCATGCTGCTCTTCTGAGTTCGTCGGTATTTTGGAAGTGTTGCACCTTCGAGTCTTCGGACATGAAAAAATGACACTTTTTCTATTAAACTGTTTTGGCATTTCTCATGAGTGAGTATAGTTCTGCCGAACCATTGGAAGAGAAGAAGTACCCTTGCTGGCAAAAGACAAAAATAGTTGCCTTAGTTGTCATTGCAATTGTACTCGTAATTGAATTCATTGTACTTCTCTTCACGTACCTAAAACTCAAGGACGGCATATGCTTTAAGAAGCTACCATCTTACTAAGACTAAACACTTAGATTTTTCAAGCTTGACTTTTTACAATTTGAACTTTGTTGCTGAATTCAGCAAAAATATAATTTAGGGTAGAAGGTTAGATCTAACCTCTTTTCTAACCTCTTTTCTACCCTCTTGAATTTTCATGAATTTCCTTAAGATAGAAAAAATAAAGTTAGTTTTTTTGTATTTTTTTGTATGTAAGATATGATTTCAGGGGTTATCTAATGAAAAAGTGTCATTTTTTTGTATTTGACGAGAATGTCGGGTAGAAGGTTAGATCTAACCTGTTTTCTAACCTGTTTTCTACCCTCTTGAATTTTCATGAATTTTCCCGAAATAAAAAATAAAGTTAGTTTTTTTAAAAAAATATTTTTTATTTTTATTGTAAGAACATGTTAGCAACAACAGCACCAAACTCTTTAGTCATGAATCCTACGTCAATGTTAGTAGAGATGAAAAGCTTCATTCCTTCTTCATATACTTTCGAAACAGAAATCCAGAAGATAAAGCAAGAACTTTTAACAAATAATTTAGACTGTAGTGCGAAAGATGAAACAAATGAACAGTATCTTTATGAAATGCAGGACATTATTGACCATTTACCTAAACTACCTGAAATCCAACAACAAAAGCTCACTATTCCTGAATTCGACGAAATTGAAGTCAAAGCAACTGACTCAGTAGAAATAAAGAAGTTCATACGAAAGGTAAACTATGAGTTTCTAGGATTTCATTGCAACCATAAGGTTATGGACAAAGATTGCGACATGGTATATAAGAATGTTTCTGACATATATAAATCCGGGGAGTTTAAGACCTACGACAACTTTGTTTCGTTAGTTGCTGAATGTGTATGGCAGATAAGAGATAAAGATAGAAGAGGTAAGGTATGGAATGAACAGATAAAACCAGCAACTTTTGAGTTAAAGAAAACCATTGACGCCTTAGTTGTTTTAGCAGGTAAGGTTTCAGAATATAACGCTAAAATGAACCCGCAATGTTCAAAATGTAAAGCGGCAATTAGGAAATATAACTACTCCGTCAAAGAGATAGAACGTATGAGAAACGACTATGCAGACTTAAAGAAAGAAGCAGAGAAACCAGCAGAAAATAAAATGGACATGTTAGAATTTCTGAACAAAAACTATCCAACAGCAGAAGATTTCCTTCTATCTGACGTCAAGAAGAAATATAAAGAAACCTTCGGTATCGTTAAAACATTCGATGTACTAAAAGAAGAAATTGAAGCTACGAAACTGTTTAGAGTCTCACGAATTCATAACGTTTACCATGTAAAACGCTTATAAAATAACTGGGGTAGAAAAGAGGGTAGAAAACAGGTTAGATCTAACCTTCTACCCTAAACATTATTTTTATTGAAAAATGACCAAAATTCTGAGTAAAATGGCATAAGATTGCTTCCCTCGGAAAACCGAGAGAAGAGATTCCGTATGAAAATCGTGAAATTTCTCTAGACCGACTTTTACCGGTCTAGCCTAAAACTCATGAAAATCGTGAAAAATAACAGAGTATTTTGACAACTTCAAACAAGCAGAGTAAATGAACCATTTATTTTTCAAGCTTGACTTTTTACAATTTGAACTTTGTTCGCGTAGATATGAATTCTGAAAGAAGTATGAGGGTCTTGTATGACTTTGTACTTCTCCCATAGTTCATGTCTGTCAAACTTACCTGCCATGGACTCTTTCATAAGTTCCATGAAATCGTCTTCGGACAATCCGGGGAAAAGTACAATGTCAGTAAGTATTCTTTTAACATCCTTACTTAAACTCTTTGCTGTCTGTACACAAATGACAACTGAGATGTTAAAGTGTCTGAGCTTCTTAAGAATTCGACACATGTCTTGTTCTCTATTCTTTAACAAAGGATGAGAGGCGAAATCATCTAAAATAAGAAGACACCTATGAGGGTAAGTCTTCCAATCGTAAGATTGCAATTTCTTCGAAATGTATTCTATCTCTTTCTGTTTGTTTCTGAAGTGTTTCTTCTCTAATTCTCTGCATTTCCTCATTTGGGTCTTTAAACTTAGAATTTATATACTCATTTATAGCATTATACTTCAAAACTCTTCTTTGGTACTTCTTTATCCAATCTAACAACTCAGTATCCTTTATACATACTAACTTAGACTTCTTTATAATATCTTTGAACGAATTGACGGTTTGGTCAAATTGACCAGAAGTACTACAAATAACAACTAACTCATAGAATGGGTTCTTCTCATCTAGTTCTTGTTGTTGTGCAGCCATTTTAAGATAAGTGAAAGTCTTACCAGACCCAGGTGGTGCAATTAGACCTGTTATACCATTCTGAGCAAATAAGAACTTGTCATGTATAGGCTTTATCTGAGCATTTTCTAACTTCCTCTTGTTCTTGTTTAAAACATTCTCAAATTTCTTGTCAATGTCAGCAAACTTTTTTTCTAACATATTTTTAGAAAAATTAAAATTTTTATCTTTTAGAAAATGTCTAGCGATTTCGCTATCTATATTCGAGACAAGCTTTTCGACAGCAAAACATCTGTCGACCATAAAATCTTACATAGTGTAAACAAGAAAGGTGAATTTGTTCTAAAGTTCTGTTTCTGGGAATATGACAAGAACCATAAAACATTAAGCAGAGAAGTCTTAAAATTTGTCAATGACAGACTTGTTGACAGAGATGACGCCTCTTGGAGAGATGAAGTCCAACAAAACTTCTTAGAATGCAAAGAAGACACATGCGCTGTTCTTGAAGATGAAATAAAAAACAGAATAGATGAGCTATTAAAGGACAAAGAACTTTTACATAAATATGGTTGCGCCAAATTTGACATAACTCCACCAGAAAAGAAGAAGAGAGAAAAGAAAGAAAAGAAAGTAGAAGAAGAGAAGAAAGAACCTGAACCAGTTCCAGAGAAAAAGAAATTTGACATGTAAAAATAAAATTTTATTTTTAGAACATTTCTGGGTCAATGTCAATGTTCTCTTCCTCTTTAGGGGCAAACACTGGCTTAGACTCTAAAATCTTTTTACCCAATTTACCTTGAACTTCAACTATCTTAGACTCATAATATTCATAGTCGTCTGCTTTCTTTGGTTCATAAGGTATAACAAGTTTGTATGCTTTGCCTTCTTTAAGGTTTGAGAACCTTCTGTCAAAACTTTCTTTGACTGCTAACAAACCTTCTATGTCTAAGTCTTCAAATTTCGCACCATTTTTAGTCACAATAGCAAACTTAACTGGTTCGATGTTCCAAACTTTGCTGAATGAAGACTTTTCAAAATGGTAGAAGTAAACATTCAAATATGTGAATGGGTCTAGTTCTTCTTTAAGTCCTGACATGTACTTGTTTACTGAGATGAATTTTGCCATCTTTTCTATCGGATAAAAAAATATTTTTTTAAAATTTACTCATAAAAATTTTTCTTTGTATATACACCATTCTGTACGTCTAAAAGACTTTTGACATTTGCCAAGAATGTACGTTTAGACGCTGTCATATAACCATATTCTTGACAATATTGTTTATACGAATCGTACAATGACCTTTCATCTAAACACTCAAAATCAGTTTCATCTATGAACAGTTCATATACACTCTTGTTTGCTTCTAACAATGTTTGTCTCTCTTCGGTATGTGGAATTTGTCTTGGATTGAACTTAGAAATATCTAATGTCATGAAATATGAGAACAAGTGGTTGTAAAAGTCAGATGTCAAAGTTTCTGCTAAGTCGTCAAAATATTCTGTATCTTGCATATGAGAATCTGACGTTCTGACAACTACATATCTTCTGTCAGAACTTTCTAACTTCATCGGAACAGCATTGTTTGAAACCATAATGAAGTTTGCAACATTTTCACAAACTCTTTGGTCTTTATATCTTCTTTCAACAACTCCAACTTTGTCTGTTATAAGACTCTTCAAAGCATCTGAGTTCAAAACTTTTGTTGTATCTATACTTTGAAGTTCATTGCAAACTATAAGTTTCATATTCTCAATTGAAGAGTTAAATTTACCGCAGATGTTTTCTAAGTTTGTCATATTCGGATTCGAATAACCTTCTAACAGTTTGCATAAGATATCTGTAAAGAATGTGTTCTTACCTGTTCCTTGTTTTCCAATTATAATGAGAGCAGTTTCATTTTTAGCACTTGGATGTTGTAAGATGTTTGCAAACCAACATAAGATATACTCATAAACTTTTTCGTTTCCATTGCATATAATTTCTTTGACATGGTCTAACCAAGCTTCTATAATATTTTCTTTCCATTCTACTTGTTCATATTTATATCCAGTGAAGATAGAATAGAAGTTTGGAGAAGGTGTATAAAACTTTATACCACGAACTGAAAAATCTTCTAACTTTGACAATAAGATATCCCAAGCATCTAACATCTTCATGCCAACTTGTACAACTTTTATTTTCTTAAGTTTCTGTCTACATTCTTGTTCTGAAACTATTGTTGCTCTTGGTTTGTTAAAGACAACATCCCATTCTTTCATAACATAACATTCTGGGGCAGAGTCAACATAAATGACTAAACGTTTCAAATTCTCGACTGCTTTGTTATAGTCTCTAAATGGACACATATTTCTGAATGCTTGGAAGTCATAAAAATCTGAAACATCTATTCTGTACATTTTTATAAAAATAAAAAAAATATTTTTTTTTATTCTTGACTTTGTTGTTCATTTGTTGCATTTGTTGTTCTTGAGCTATTTGTTGTTGAAGTTGTTCTTGTAATACAATACTTTCACCAGTTGCATCTTCCAATTCGAAACTTTCTGCCGTCATTGACAAATACATAGGACATAAAAGTTTTACAGGAACAAAGTTTGCGTCAACTAATGTCAACGTTATACTTGCCAAAGTGTTTGAGTTCACTAAGGTTGAAAATTCTGCATTCGAATGAACAATAGGCAAACCAGCAGAGAAAGTATTGTTTATACGCATAAGTATCTTTTGGTCATAGTAGTTTCTGTCGACATTCGAATAGCACTTTGAACCTAAGTTTGAAACAATATATAAGATTGGTGTGCTTAATGTCAATGGAATAGACATTCCTTGTATGACACCTTTTCCTGTTATAGGAAACTGTTGGTAGTAAAAACCAGAAATAAGTTTTGTATTATAGCTCATATCTTTATAGTAAACTCAGTCGGACATCCAAACATAACGAAACCTGCTCTAGTTGCAGCACATGTTACACCCGTACTTAAAGTATTAAATAAGTCAACAAAACCTGTTGTGTATATCTGAGTAAGTATCTTCAAAGGAGTATTTTTTACCATTCACAACAATAAAGTCTTCTGGTGTCAAAGAGCAAAACAGGCTTTAGTCGTCATTGTTTTAAGGTTAGTTTACAATATCGTCCTTGAGGACTTTGTAAGTTTGTTGTTATAGAATTATATGACTCAGGGTTTTAGTCGTAATAGTATAAACCATTATATCTTCTGCCATTTATATATATTTAAAAGTTTTTCTGAAAGTGGAGAAGAACTTCATCTAAACTTTCACATGGCGTTTCTTGAAGTTCTCTGTCTAAGAAGTTCAAATATTTTGTAAAGACATAGAACTTTCCTTTGTCTACACGAACAAACAAAACAGGGTCTTTCATATCGTTCAAAAGTGTGTAAAGTCCTTTACATGAAATAAAGTCTATATTATTTTTCTTCAAACATCTTTCAAGAAGTTTTGACATTTTTTACTTAGCAAATAAATTTTAATGAAATGTTGTGGTCGTCAAATATTTTTATGACGTCTGGGAAACTATACTTTAAGTTCAACGTTTCACCTCCTTTCATAACGTATATCTTGTCAATGACATTATATGAAACACCACAGCAACTAATGTCGGGTTCTATTTCTTTGATGTTTATATCGTCTGCCTCTGTCAAAAGTTTCAATAGTTCTTTCAAAACTTCATGAGGTGCAATGACATATGAGTTCACTTTTACAGGGTTGTGTTCGACCAAGTTTAACATTATACTTAAAGCTTGACAAATCTTCTCCTGAGTTTGAAGTTTGTCTTTCAGTTGTTGGTAGTCGTTTCGAATATCTGCAACAGAACTTAAGTCTCTGCTAACTTCAGGATATGTTGGTTGTTCTTTTACAGGAACAATTGTTATACCATCTTCGTCCTCGTATGGTTTCCCCACTTCAACATCTCTGTCTTTGACATTGACAACAACACTTTGACTGTTTGTTTGAGTTGGTGAATTTAACTTCACATCTGCCACCGCCATTAAACCTTTTGAAACACTCACGCTTCTATTTTTCGGAAATGACATTTTACTTAGAATAAAAAGATGGACGTATTCGAGTATCTCTTCGAATTGAAGCAGAACAAAGTTTACACACACAAACAATACAAATACATTGACAGAATAGTTCTTTACACAAACAATGGTAAATGTTATAGAATAGCAGTCTTTGCTGAACCAAAATATTTTCATAAAGCAAAGAAAGTTGGTATAACTGAAATGGTGAAAGTTCTTGAAGCAGACAAAAATATAACTTCAAAACTTACAGATATTTCTAAAGGAAAGTTTATCTTACAATATTATGTCAAAACTGGCGTACTGTCAATATTTGACGGAGAGAAGTCAGTTCAAGAACAACTTACTGACCTGCTGCCAAAATCTGCTCGATGGAAGCTGTCGTTATGCCAATCTGAGGAGCCCCAGCAGGTTTCATCGAACGAATCTTCAAAAGAGCATCTTCCGTGAAAAGTGCTATTGGTTTTGTAAACTTCTTTGCTCTCAGTTCATCTGGACCGTCTCTGTCACCAGTATATTGTATTTGTACAGTACCAACAGTTGAAATACCACCCATAAAGTCTTCTGAGTCAGCAAATGGAATGCCAAGCCAAAAGTTTGAACGGTCTCCATTTGTATATTGAGTTTTTTGACCTCCTGTATGAGTCCATACTTTCACATATGGCATAATAGAACTTTGCATTTCAGGGTTAATGGTTGTTGTGAAGTTGTTGTTAAAGTTCATAGCATCTAATGTCAAGTTGTATGACCTCATATCCTCAACTGTAGAATATTCTTCTCTTGGATAATATTTGCCATCTATGTTTATATGATATTTAATACCGGGGTTGTAGAAACAAGAATAGTCATTTATAGTTCGTCTGAACAGTACAAACATAGTATCTGCATGTTTCATTGCAGTTGTTAAAGCAATATCTGTTCTTGCACCTGGGTCAGCACTTTGGTTTCCAACTTCACCTGCAAAGTCTTTGACAGATATTTGGTGTATAGGGAACATAAGTGGAACTGCAATATATTTGGCAGCTAAAGCATTTGAAATATCTGGGTCCAACATATAGACTGCAAGTCTGCTTTCTATTCTCTTGCATTCAAACTTTTCGCATGTGAACTTAACTGGGTCCCAAGCAGTTCCAGCAGCATTGAAATAATAGTTTACTTCATTGTTG